GAACCTGTCCGGCCACAAACGGCAACTCGCTCGCCTGGCTTCACTGTAAGGGTGACGCCACTGAGTCTCCAGCTGGAGCCGCCATCTTTGTCATCGTATGTGGCCCAGACATTCTCGAAGGTGACTTGACCCGGTTTAGGCCAGTCGTCGGGTACGTCTACATTTGACTGCTCCTCACGCTCGCGTGGTGTATCCTGCTCAAACATGCTAACGCGGGCGATGGCTCCGAGCGAGGTTTCGAGCGATGTCCAGGAAATGATGAAGTTGGTCAGTGTCTCGCCGAGGGTTGTGGTGTTCAGGAACGCCACACCCACGGCCCCAACAGCAACCTTGTCTCTCATTCCGATGGCGACGCCGGCAATCGTGATGGCGAGTCCCGCCACCACAAGGTTCAGTACAAGTTGAAGCCATCTTTGGACCATATAAAGCAGATAGAACGGTTCTTGCGATCGATCCAGCTTCTCCAAGAACTTCTCTCTCATGGGGTTTAGCCAGCCGTTAGCGCGGATCACAGAAAGCCCCGAGACCGTCTCGCCGAATTTGGTGTGTAGGTCTGCTTTCCAGCTGAGGTCCAGCAGACGCAGCTGCTTGGATGACCGAAGATAGACTCTCTGTATGAAGTACAACACAGCAAATAGGGCTGGAAGTATTGCAAGCGCCTGCTTGGAGACTATGGCAACCAGGATCAACTGGAATGTGGATGTGAACAGCTCTGCGCACGTGTTGAAGAGATCCAGAGGCAGGAAAGCGTCTACGAACATCAGGTCCTGGTTGAAACGATTCATAAGGCTGCCGGTGTCGACGCGGCTAATGAACGCGAACGGCGCTAGGAGGACTGTTCGGAGGAGACTAGCGTGCAGTGTAGAAGCTGAAGTAGGTACGATAAAGAACATTAGGTGGCTATGTGAAACACAACGTTAGCGACAATGAAGATTCGAAACGATCGAGCCGTCCATCTTACAATATGCAGAGACATAATACCAGCAAAGGAAGGACTTCTAGTAGCGCAAACATGCCAATCCAATAGTTGTTGCCGCGTGTGTCTCCCTGCTGAAGCGCGGTGGACCACCATTGTACCCAAAGGTCTGTAAACGGTCAGGGATGAAGCGCGGAAAAAGACCTGACAATATTAGGTCAAGCCTAGGATGTAGTAACTTGACATACCTGGAAGCTTGAGACAGATCGCGAAGGCGATCACCAGAAATAGGAAGATTCCGGCGTTCTTGAAGCCCATAGCACGAACGTATCTTAAGTATACTTGCCTATCCAAAACCTTCGTATCCTTTTCATTTTGGTCATCCTTAACCTTCTGTACGGTGGCATTAATCGCCTGATCTGACGCCGTGGTATCTTTCTCATCGAAGCCTTCCTCTGTTGTTTCTCCTTGCGCAATCCTGTTTTCTATTGCGTCACCGTTGGCCGGCTTCTGTAACGATAATGGTGCGAGGCTTCTGTCGACAGTGATCTCGTATACTTGATCAGCTAGCATTGCTATTGAGGCTATGTTCGCTTCGATGAGCCCGCATTCTCACACACAGCACAGCAGTGCAACCTACAGTCGTGAGTTGTAAACAAAACTGTTGTTCCCAGTCTGCGCAACAGCCCCTCGGGTCCAAGAAGCCGTGTTGAGATCTGCTGTCTCGTGGCACGGTCCAGTGCACTAAACACGTCGTCCAACAAGACGATTTCTTTGCGAAGTGCTATCGCTCTAGCCAAGGCCTAACAGGAAAGATTATGAGAATGAGGGCAGTGTCACAGGATAAAAAGATCTAACTTACTAAACGCTGTCGTTGACCTCCACTAAGGCGAACACCGCCGCTTCCGACCTGGCCCGTTCTGTAGTCAGGTAAGCTGATAAGATCATCCAAAAAACAAGCCTCAAGGACTTCTGCGAGCGATTTTGGATCGCCACCTCCGTACTGTGTCCACGTCTGCTCGGCTGACATGTTCTCCAACCAGGGCGTCTGGCTGCAGTATGAAACCTTGTCAAGAGGAAGTTCAATAGAGCCTGATACGTGCTTTACCTCACCAAGTGCCGACTTCAACAACAGCGACTTGCCAGACCCAGTTTTTCCGACAAGGGCAACGAAAGAGCCCCTAGCGACCTCAAGATTGATGTTTTCTAGCACGGTCTCATCTGACGACCATCCGAGAGAAGCATTGCGAATAGAGATTGCTGGCTGGTTACTACCCGAGGGGTTCGAAGACAGTCTGGTGTCTCCGCGGTGCATCCGTGTACGTTGAAGATCGACGCTTGCGTTTTGGAACATCTCAGGCGTTTCTAGAAACGCGTGGATGCGTCCAAAACAGCCCTGAGCCGACCCTAGAGCCGGCATAGCCTGAAATAAGTGTATCAACGGAGACCCGAGAAGTGCAATAAGCACAAGTGAGGAGAACATCGTAGCTGAGTCGAGGTCGCTGTCGGCGCCGTTGACGCCGATGTAAGCCGCAAAAACGAGCAAAGGAGAGAGCGTGACAGTGCTGTAAGCTAACATGGAAGTTAAGCGTATGCTCATAACGAAGATTAGATGGCCTAATACTCACACAGAAACACAGATACGGTGATCAAAGCACGGAAGAGCCTTGCCGCTTGTATCTCTAATCGTCTCAGCTCGTTCACCACTTGGCCGACTCTGTCCTCTGCCCCGCGCATCTTGACAGCTTTGAGAGAATCCAAAAGTCGCTTCGTGGCATCAATACGCTGCTCCATCGCCTTCAACCAGTTCCTCTGTTGTACGCTGATTTTGCTGGCAACGAAAGATGAGATAGCACCGCAGGCTGTCCGGAACGCATTATTAGCGGCGTCACAATGCGAGATTTGAATACCATGCAGCTCACCAAGAGCGAGACCGAGCATGGCCATCGAAGAAACACCCATGATTCGTTGAAGAAGATACGTCGCCAGCGCGGTTTCCAGGATACCTGCCCATACTTCGTGAATGAAAGCAAGACCGCTCACGATGCGCTGTACATCGGATATCATAAGCGTAGTTGCCTTGGCTTCGGTACCGCCATCTTCAGGTAGTCGTAACACCTTTTCAAAGATTGATACTACCAAGCCTCCGCGAATGATTGATACGGACTTGTACATGTGGCGCCAATACCAGCTGTTGGAAACCTGAATGAATATCAGCCGTAAGATTCACAAAAGGATAGTATCGGCTCGAAGTACAGCTATGCCAATGTAAACGAAGGCACATGCTCCAAGAAGACCGTAGCCGTGGCTCGCTGGTCTCTGCTCTCCATGTTCTAGATATTTCAGCAAAGCTGTGACCAGGAAAGACTGCGAAAATGTGAAGCCGGTCACTGCCAGTCTTGGAATCACTGGTGCGAGCGCGTAAAATCCCAGGGAAGTGAATGTTTGGAGGGCGAAGCCGTTGCCGGAAGAGGCTATCAATGTTTAGAGAGGTTACAAATTTAGTGTATGTGACCAGAAATGCCTTACCTATGTGACCATTTGCTATGTTACTGAATTTAGCAAGAATACTCTTGGCATACAAAGGGCTGCTAATCATGCCAAGGTCCGTTGTGGTGAAAGCGCGCTTGTATCCAGTGCGGAACAGGCTGTTCAACCAGAGAAAAAAGGTTTGACTAATAGGCCCTGCTAGATCTTCTGGTGCTTTGATATCGAAATCCACGCTGAGTGCTTTCTTCTGACATTCCAAGATGAGTAGCGTAAACTTTATGGCACAATTTAAAGTTGTAATCGCAGCGATGACGTTTTGATCTTCAAGGTAATACGTTCTCGCGCGGGTGGCCTCCGTCAATATAACGACGAACAAGTAGGCAATGCTCAGAGATGGTGGACGGCATGATCTCCCATGCTCAATGAATAATAGAGCCAACAGGACACATGCTGAGGCAAGTCCAAGAGCGGCTGACGGAATGGCAGCTGCGGTTTTCAGATCTTCGATACGGCATCGTTGAACGAGTATGGCCACTTGTAATGCGACTGACAGAAGATTGACACCCTGTGCCGTGTCAATTATGCTCTGACCACACCGTCACCTTCTTGCCGTGGATGTGTAGCTACTCACGAGCTTGGAACGATACAGCCAGCCAAGACGTGCGATGACAGGCCGGTGGAATAGGACTGTCAGTCTAACTGATGCCAGTACGACCAGTACTGACGATGGGACGATGCTGAGTACAGAGTCTTGAAAGAGGAGTGTGAAGTCGAAATCAGAACGGCAGCCCTGGATTGCGGGCCCAAACGCACTGTCTGCGTCGACAGAACATTCCATCATGAAACGATGCTCTGCTCCTGCCTGCTTTTACGAAGAGAAAGGTTAGAAAAGGCAAAACTACAGTACGAGGCCGATGCAATGGGGAATGAAGAATCAGGTTAGTCCTAAGGGCCACGTGCCAGAGGGGGGGGCTAGATCAATATGGTCGAGCCGAGTAGTCTCACCGACCGTAAGAAATCTTCCCAATCAGAATGGTCCGTTGGAACTTTGGCTCGGTGAAGCATGAACTGGCAACGAGGGAATGTAGAATGATAAGACTTAACCTCAAACAGCAGGTCAAAACACAGCACTGCCATCCCGCAGACACCCCTGCAATAGGACAATAACACGGCAGCATGGTCAGCTTACCCGGTCAGCCCACCTGGCAGGACTGGGAGCAAGCGGGGGAAAAGACCCTGCATGAAGACCCTGCGTCAAGAGTCTTTCGCTTCTTTGCGAGAATCTGCAATGGATGAATATTGTTTATCTAGAAGGATGACTGCTGAGATGACGGTTGCGATCGGTCATCTTCTCTTCAAGAATTCACCCAGGCAAGCATTGAGCCAGTCATGCATAGAGGTCATCTGCTCTCTAGGCAAGTACCCAGGTGCTACAAGGCAATAAGTTCAGAAATCCTTCCGCTCTGCAGCAGGCGGCAAAGACGAACGTACATTCGAGAACGTAGGGAACTAAAACAGGTGCATCGAATTTCCCATCGCGAGACCGACCGAACCTCGAACGAGAAGCTTCAACCATTCACCTCCTGACAACAAGATGGACTACGGATACAGTAATGTGCCAGCAAACGAGGAAGCATCACAGGCGGAATCCGGATCGGCGAAGGCAAACAAGCTACGCTATCCCAAGGCAGCTGCGGGCTTGCGCTGGACGATGCCCCGCTCTCCATGCGTGATAGCCGTAGCGGCCGCAACGCTCACGATCGTTGCCTTGGCGGGGTTCGTTCTGGGATCGACAGCAACGAGAATGGCCATGCCGACCGCCGTTTCGACCGTTGACGAAATAGGAGGCCAGATTGACGACTGCGGCGAGACGCCGGCGCAAGCGAGGGCCAACGGATGCAGATACGACCCCATGATCCAGCAGTGGGTACCAACAGCATGCTACGACGAGGAACATTCGGAGATGTACCTCTCGACATACAAGTGGAAGTGGTATTACGACCTCGACGCCAAACATGAGATGCCAGATGAAGTGATGAGGCGTGGAGAGCACAACGTGGCCTTCATGGTTGACGACTATCACCGCCGTCATTGTGCGTACGTCTGGGAGGTTTCGGCGCGGGCTTTACAACAGCAGAAGCCCATGCTGGATGAATGGCTTTCGTACAAGCATGTCCACCATTGCAATCGACTTTTGCTCTCCCCGCCGTGGAACTCCACGAAGCACCCCACTGCCGTTGAGACGCACTCGGGGTTCGGGAGGTGCGCCCCGTACCGTCTGTGGGCTAGGGACATGCCAGAGTAAGCCGCTACCTCCGTCGAATTTGGAAAAGTTGCCAGGGTCCTGCCTTGCTAGCTATGCAGCAGGTTCTGGGCATGGTCTGAGGATTCGCGGAGAAAGCTGAGGGCTTAGGTCCGGATGGATTGGGCGTCTTATGAGTATCCTATCAAGTGGCTCGCATACCTCCTGCAGACACAATTCAGGTATTGTTGCCGAGGCGCCGCTCATTCCTTGCCTTTGGCAGCGTGGTACCTCTTACAGTCTAGGAGTGTAGAGACGATTCAGTTACAAGCAAATGTGAGGCACAGTTTAGTGGGGTCAAGAGAGGGACTTCTTTGTTGCTTCTTTCAAACCACGCAGAGAGTGCCATGGAATTTGTCAGGCTCAGGGACTGCTGTTGGTGTTGGTGCCAACAGTCATTGTCCGTTCCAAAGATGCCGAAAGGATGATTAACCAACATCATGCAGAAGCCCTTCCGGCGGGAGAATATATGTACGAAGCTTTCCCACCCCAGTTGTCTGCAAATAGATCACAACTCCCCCGTTCTCATTCGCATTGTCACTACCTTGCAATGGAGCTCTCAGACTACGAAGCTCGACGGAAGGTCCAGAACAGGGAAGCCCAGCGGCGCTACAGTGAGTTAATCAGACCTTGAGCGGCCAAACCAGGATGTCCCCCACTGAAAATAGCGGATACTGACGCAACCCAACTCTTCCCGCTTCTGTAGGACAGAAACAAAAACAGCGAGGGTCTTCGTCGAACAGTGGCAACAGCAGCAGTAACAATACCAGTAAAAATGGAAACACTGAAGCCATTACAGCCAGCTCCATCGACTTGCACTCAGTCGTGGAAGCGCATGGCTCACTGGACGTTGATTTCTCGGATTTCTTTCAGGGTTCATCTCTAGACCTAACACCCGGGATGGTGTCCTCCATGGCGGCCGAGAACAACAACTTCGACGATTTCAGTGTGGGTGAAGGCTACTCGACCCGTCACACATTGCCTGACCACGACGGCTACCATCGTCACGCATCGAGTTCTTCTTGCTCTGTATGTAATGACATGAATTCGGGAAGAACATTCACAAGTGCTAATATGACGTGGAACAATAACCAGGCGCCAAGAAGCCGAAAACACTCTTTGCCCAAGAGACATGATTTGATCCTGACCAAGGCCGATCGCATGGTCCACGACCTAGACCGGCTCTACGAGTTTGGTGTAGACATGCAGCTGATAACCCCCAGCGGCGAACTGAAAACATCACTGGCCAATATCGAGAGATTATTTCGTAAATCAATCCACAAGGCTGCGGAGGACGAATATCATGATTGACTACTGTTTTTGACCAAACTTTCTTCATGTATTAGAGCGTGTTAGTGTCAGCAGCTACCAATGACCACAATTTCCACACTGCATCCTACCTACTGTTGCACAGCAGCTATCCACCATGAATCTTAGCTGGTCGATCTAGCATGGCACACGCACGACCTAAGACCACTGCGACCGCCCATTGCTTATTGGTAAAGTTTGTTCCCTTTCTTCTTTTTCTACGGGAATCTACTGGGTACAATGCGACGAAGCGTTCAACGCCATGTTGTTCCACAAATACATGACTACGGGGTCTTGGATTTCTAAAGGGCAGTGTTCGTCCCTTATTTACCATCCTCGTCACTGTCCTCGTCACTGTCATCGTCTAGCGCAAAGCTTGAGCCTCTCCACGAAGTGGCTGCACCAACATCCGGGCCAGAGATTGACTGCAGCATTCTCAAGCGACGCCTTGCGAGGTAAACCCACGTGGTGAGTGATGCTGTTCCAAGGATTATCAGGGCGGATACCAACCAAAAGACCGCGCTCTTTGCGTGACCAGCCATCACAATACCGCTAAGAATGTTACCCAAACCGCCTACCACAACGCATCGCCCCAACCAGACATGTACTTGAGAGACCCATGTTCGATGTCTTACACGAAGAAAGATTACATGATGCCGCAATCCCAACACCACTTGGACTGACAACGCCAGCACGATGGCAATGCCGACTATCTGATGAACCGCAGCAGAAGGCTGTCTGCCACTCATGATTAGCCCTACGATCGCACCTAGGCCCGCGAACATTGTTGCTGTTGCCTGCAGGACCCAGTGGAACCGAAACGCATTACGCGACCCAGAAAGAATTGCCACCACACCCATGGGGAACAGGAACAAGAATGCCGTCCCCATTAGAAACGCATGCAAGTGAACAAGACCAAGGCTGAGGCTGAATTCACCAAGCGCAATGAGGAAGTTTGAGCTGCCCGAGGACGAATCTGGAGCAGTCGAAGTGAATTTGGATGCCGCGACAGGGAACGTTGAAGATCCAATGGTTGCAACGCCCTGCTTCAGTTGAGGTAGAGAAGCTTCGTGGCTCGTCGAACTCTTCATGTCGACGTAGAAAAGCCCCCAACCACCGGCACCAAAGTTGTGGACTTCGAGACTGGCTTCATTGGAATATTCGACGCGGGCCATATCTTGGTGGTCATTCCATGCCCATATCCATGGCTGCGATGTGTCCGAGATGTCGATTCGTGACCCCGGCCATAACGAACATCCGTAGCAGACGGCACCCATGGAGGCAACGAAGGTGGGCTCATTTTTCGCATTATCGACTTGCAGCCATTGCGATCGCATGATTCGAACATCCGCTTGTCCAGCATCATCGGCCATCACAGGTCGTGGCGGTGTATGGCCATGGCCCGGCACGGTACGTATGCTCACAGTTGGGCTTCGCCCTGACACAGGGTCACCATAGACAACGAACATCAACGCACCGGCCATAGTTGGACCTGTCCCAATGGCATTCCAACCCTTTCTGGAGGAATGCCAGGTCACCTGAAGGTTGACATATAGGTCATGGGAGGCTGTTGAGTGGTTGTGGAAGACGTTGACGCCGACGCAAAAGTCGACTTCACCGGTGTCATTTCCGAAGCGACAATATTGAGATGCTCCAGCGACAGCCAATGATAAACTTTGGAGTAAGAGAAAAAGTAGAGTGCCATTGAAAAATGTAGAATGATTCATATTGCGCAGCCGAGGCAACTAACACGAGAGAGGATTGTGCTGTTGATGAGGCCTAGTGATGGTATTGTTGCGAATTGTTCTCATGAGAATTCCTCGGCCATTCGTCTGTGACTGGGACGATGATTAAGAGGCGACCATTAGTTTCCAGTCAGTCACTTGTTCATAAGACCAATTGATCCTGCACAGTGATACCGAAAGAGATCGAACAAATTCCCTCCGCGGCGTTCTGTATGTGGTTAAGCTGACTGCCCAAGAGCTTACTATTAGCTTACCTTGGCATGATGCACCCAGGGTCCTGCGATCAAGTAAGCTAGGGTTATCGATCTTCTGGACGCGATGCAGGCTTACATTGCATGTCTTTTGTATCTCCTGCTGACTTCCTTCCATTTGCAAAAGCTTGAATCGACCTTACTCTTGATTCTCAGTAGCCTTATCTAGACTTGAGGTGGCTCTCGCTAACAGAGTCGGCGGCCTTGACGATGTCCTCAGAGTATCATTTACCAGTGTCTTCAGCTCACATAAGTCAAAAGAATGGTTTCTCGGCCATTACGCAAGGCATCGAGACTTTTGTCATCTCACATGATGAAAGGCGTATTAAACTGAAGATCGGCAAGACAAATGATGCACGGCTTTCTTCAACCTAAGCTTAGTTCCTTTCCAACACGATCCATACAGTATCCATGCACTCCACATTGCCTCTATTCGCTTCCAAGGCCTCGATAGCTGACGCGACTTGCTCCCGGCATTTCATCATCTCCTCTCTGTCGGCCGCGCCTTTCACTGCTTGTTCGACATCCTGTGTGAATCTACCTCGAAGCAGATACTGAGCTTCCCAGTACCCATCACGGATAGCCAAGGGTGTTGGAAGCGAGCCCTGTCTGGTAACACACCAGCCAACCTGTCGTGCCAGGGCCACCAGTTCGTCAGGGAGCAAAGCCCCGCCCCGGATGTTCTGTTCGTCGAGCCGGGGCATGTAGTCAGCGGGCCGCAGGGAATAAAGCTTCTTTTCTGCTGCTGCCGCCAAAGCATGAGGCTCCTGCGATGCCGATTTAGCCTGCCCGCTCCATTCGGCTACGTAAATGCGCGGAACACCCGCTGCGGCCAAAGCCTCCAAAAGGTCGCGAACAGCAGCGGTTGAAGGGAAGTACCACATGCTGTAGCAGAAGACGGCGCCGTCGAATTCAACCGAGGGCTGCTGCTGGTTTTCGACAGGCGAGTTCAAATCTTCGAGCGGCGCTTCGACAGAACACAAGGAGGCAGGTGGAGACGTTTCAGAAAGCGACTTGTAACGTGCTCTCAGCCATTCAGTCGTATCGCTGCGCTGAAAGACAATTCGATTGCCAAGGGTCGAAGACAGAATATGGTTCTGAGCTTGGCCTACAGTGAAGGGTCCGCCGTAGTCTGGGGGCGCATTGTCGATCCCTGTCACGCTGCCTAACGGACCAACAGCTGTTGCAAGGACGAGCGATGAGTCTCCTTGACCACAGCCAACATCGAGCAGCCGTGATCCTTGGGGTATCGACCAAGCCTCGCAAATGCTTAGCCGGTGAGCAAATCGTGGCACAACGTTGGCTCTTTGACTACTGGCATGCAGGTAGCATGACAGGATGATTTCAAGAGAGTCCGAATCTGGAGTATTCATCGTGGGATGGGAAAGTGTTGACATTTTCGTTCCCTCCTGTCAATTTTCATGTGGCGATGGCTCATTGCTATATTATTCCGATAATGAGCCTTCTGGTCCTCATACTCAGCGTGGGACCTATTGCGTGGCATATCTACTGTTTGAAAACCCCTTGCGTTCACCATCTGATAGAAGAGGCCTGTTAACATCCAAATCCGCTACGGATAAGTTTTCGCCTAGGCTGTGGAGCCTTTCTGTTTGATAACATGCACCGTCAGCTTACCATGCAGCATCAGCTCACCTTCCGTTGGTTCCGAGTCGCCTCGGTTCGCGGTCAGTTAATTACCAACACAACGAGCCCTGTTTCTTAATCAGTCATTGCTAAGCTTGTATCCATGTCGCCAAGGCGGCCGCTCTCATTGCTTTTATCCCGGCACCCCTCCGCAAAAGGCCGGCAAGAGTGCTTCCACTTGCACGCCAAAGTACTCATCGGCAACCAGTAGACACCACAACCATACTCTCAAGGTCCTTCAGCCAAACAAAATCACATTGAAACATGGGCTGTACAGGTAGAAAGCGCAAGTCCGGATCTTCAACAGAGTCCACTGCTGGATATGGGGACAGCATCTATTGGAGACCCGTCGTCGTTGTTGCAATGATGCTCTTCATTGATGGCCTTGGATACTGCATGTCTATTGCTCCACAGACGCGTTTGTTCGAGGACATCGTCTGCCGACAGTACTACAAGGTTGACAGCAACACCCCCGGCGGCGGACCTTCTGAGGAGATGTGCAAGGACCCTGCAGTTCAAGACGTCGTGGCGGAGCTCTTTGGCTGGCAGACGTTCTTTGACGGCATTCCTGGCTTGATACTAGCTATGTGGTTTGGTGTGCTTGCAGACAAGCAAGGCCGGAGACGAGTCTTCTTCCTCAGCGTTGTAGGACAGGTGCTGGGTGCTTGCTGGGTGCTTTTCATTTGTGAGTGAAAACGCAGATGAGATTTGATTCACTTGCCATCATTTTGCTGACAATTATTACAGCCTGGCTGGAATTACCCCTTAAACTTGTGTGGCTGTCTTCATTCTTTCTCGTCATTGGCGGTGGAAGCACAGTCACTGGCGCTGTGGCCATGATGATCATTACAGATGCGTCGCCTGAAAAGTACAGGTAAGTAAACGCGAGATCGAGCAAGCGTTCCGTATAATACTAATGCGGAAACAGGTCAAATATCTTTTTCTATGCTCAAGCTGCTCTGATTGTCGCGGAGCTGATCGGACCAGCGATCGGTTCTGCCTTGATGACCAACAGTCTTTGGTTCCCTTTGCTATTGGGATTAGGTAAGACTACAGTACCACTGCCTAGACCTAAGCTAATATTGCAGCTTGTACGATAATCACGGCCATTCTCGCAGGTACCATCCCGGAAACACTGCCTCAAGGCGAAGATGACTCGATCGAGTCAGACAGGGAGGGCCTTTCAGAAGACTTGAGTCTTCGAATAACACTGAAAAACCTGCTCAGACATGTTCACAAGACTTTAGGATTTATCCTTCGCCATCGTAGTGTCCTGTTCCTTGTGTTGACATTTCTAGTCGTCGACTTCTCTCGACAATCTCTCGGTGTTCTTCTACAGTACTTATCAACGAGATACGCTATTCCAATTGCCAAGGTATCTACTTCGCAAGGTTCAAATGACGCTTCGACTGACAATTTCCAGGCCAACCTTCTGCTCTCATTCCGGGCTTTTGCGCAGCTTGTAACCTTCGTCGCCATTCTGCCTGTGCTGGATCTTTTCATTTCCAATAAACTAGGCTTCTCCGCTCGAGTCAAAGACTTTCTCCTTTCCAGGCTCAGTATTGTATTTATCATGATATGCTTTGCAGTCCTGGTTCTTGCGCCAAGCATACCTGTGGTTGTCGTCGGTAAGCACTCTACACGACACTGGAGACTAGAGGGAGTTTACTGAAGCGTATTTCTAGGCCTGGCGTTCTATACCCTTGGAAATGGTTTTAGCTCATTTGCCAGATCGCTTCTCAGTTCATTGGTTGAGAAAAACATGGTCGGGACCTTGTTTACAACGCTATCCATGATGGATACCTTGGGCTCCTTACTTGCGGGCCCCATTGTTGCTAGGACCTTCAGCTGGAGCATGAGGCTCGATGGAATTTGGAAAGGTTTGCCTTATGTCATGTCTTTCGCCATGTGTGGCCTGGCGTCCTTGGCGCTTTCTCGGGCAGGCCACGCAGACCTGCCAGAGGAACACCTTGAAAGTCATGACGATGAGGAGAGTAGATCGTTTCTCGCCCAAGAAAACTCTGCCTAGCAATCACAGAACTAGCTCGGGGTCCAGTACATGAACCTATGCATCAAGATATTCATTTTACCACCGAAGCACTCTTTTTTATACAAGATGACGCTCGACTGACTGTCATGAATTCTAGCTAGTAAGACAAGTTTGCTCATCGTTTCTACTCTTTAACCTAAGCTCATTGCTGCTCTTTACGTGTGGAACTCAATTACCTATGTAACAAAGTGCTTGCGTGAAAAAAGTGTACTTTGCTTCTACTTTTTGAAGACTATTAAACTCCACACATGATTTCATACTCTTGCGTTCCTGTTTTGTACGAATTGCGGTGGAAGCCGTGAAGTGAAACTGTTTCCAATCTCGCTTCCGAATAAAGTAAATCAAGACCTATAATAATCAACTCACTTATCCACTACTATTGTCAACATGAGTAAGTCATTCCATAATACATCAATAGATCATACGCAACTGCCTCTAAATTACAAAACGCCTTCGTCTTTCATCAATTTCTAGCCATAACATATGCTGCTTGAACGGCTTGACAGTATTAGAATGGCCAATGGTCAATGTCCGTGACTATGACCAGCTGTACTGTGAAGATGTGACCCAAACATGCGGTGGAACTCGTCTGACATCGGCACAGGTTTCTGCCCTTGAGGAATGCGCATCTCAGCGAAGCGTGCGGTGTCCGTGATCATGTTGTCCTCATGCCACGCCAGTATAGCGTCAAAATCGTTGCACTTTTTGTTGATGCTGAAGTCCGGAAAGGGGTGTAGCTGTCCATCGACCCAAGGCTGGGTGATGATATCCGGTGTCGCGCTGCACATCAGGTTTTGCAGTACGACGTAGATGCAGTGATCCGTATGAACACGGTGAAGCTCGGGAAAGACACCGTCCGGGTAGTCTTCGATAAAGTAATGCCTCCAGTGAACGTCGCGTCGAATAGCGTTGAGACAATGAATTGTGTGAAGGACGTCCAGCTCTGCAACATGTGCCTCGGGCCCAAAACCCCAATCTTGAGGAAATCTCGCCGTCGTAGATGGGTCTTTGCCAAGTCTGATGACATCTTCTGTGCTTATTGCGTGTGGCATGAGACTACTGATGCGCTCCCATGCTTCGTCTACTTCGGGGGAAGGTGCCTGCCGAAAGATACTATTGTCCAAGTTCAGGAGTGATCCGTTAACTCTTTTATCGACGATTCCGATCTGCGTCTGATCGAACACCGGCGCTATAAAGGTGTCAGATCAATGAACATGCCAAAATGGTATCTAATCTCTTACAATACCAACTAGTCAGACGCAGAAGCGCATTGTCGTGATTGTGCTGAATTGCATATTTCCAGCGAAAAGCTGATACGGCGCAGACGAGAGACAGCGGAAATAGTATTGCATTGAAACAGGTGACCACCCAGAAGAGAGATCCGAAGCCTTTTGTCTTCTGCCGTCGAGCAGAATATGGTACAGTGCCGTCTTTTTCGTTGGGCAGAAAATCCTGTGTTTCCTCTAGTGTTGCCTCCGACTCATCGGACAGTCTCGATTCGAACATGTCATTTGGGCCGCGTAATCCCATATTGGGAAGAGACCTGAAAGAATATTTATATGGATAGAAGAAAAGATTGAATATAGTGGCAATAATGAGTAGAGGTTTATTGAACATGAGATGCAGGCAGTTTCTAGGCACCTTCAGGACAGCGCGTTGTTGACAATGCCGCGGCGCTTTGAAGAGTTAAAATGTGGTGCAAAGGGACATCAATAGCACGTGCAACCCCAAATTTCCTTTCTTCAGAACAAGCAGTGATGTCGAGAGGTTGAGTGGTTGATTACTATTACTGTGTATGTGTTGGCGTTAATGTGGGTTCACCTAGTGAGATTACGGGTGAGCTGACCCGTGAGCATGCATGCTGGGCCTGTTGCTATCGTGCACGTATCGCCATGAACATCAGCACAATGCTTTCATTAACATTAACAGGAATGATGACTTTCTTTCAGATAAGGTGTGATAGGTGCATTTTAACTATGCGCATCTATGCATGATCCTAGTATCACAAACTTGTGGTTTGCGTAAGTGGGCATAACTCATGAGTACTTACCTAGAATGATGCGGCATCATCTCAAGAAATACGCACTGTCATCATTTTGAGATTAATTCCGTGAGATACTTGCTCGGAGGACAGCTGACATTACCAAATGTGACTTTGTGAGAGAGTGGACCAATGCTTCGAGTTGGCTTGGGTAGTACTCGTGGGTGTCTCCAAGGAGTCAGAAGCCAGTAGCCGCACGTGAAAGTGAGGTAAGCACGAACAACCAGTATGATCGTAAGGTTGATGGATCACGGTATTGCAATGAAGGGATCACAGTCAGAGGAATGCGGACCCTGGTGCACTCTCAGCTGTGGCTTGATGGATGAGCAGTGGGCCGCAGTTTCACTCTATTGTTAAGCTGACCCATCAGTCTAGTCAATGCGATAAGTAAGTCGACAGAAACATCAAATTAATGAAGTATAAAGCATTGTAGGAGATGCCGCTGAATACGATCTTACAACTCACCATCACAAAGCATCTACAAGAAGCATCCACTTCAGACCAAAATAACCTACTTTTATCAAAAGCTCTTGCACACACAGACCTGCGTCTTCAACCAACCCAAACAACAACCGCAAACATGAAGTTCACCAACACTGCCGCTCTCATCATTCTCGCCCCTATGGTGGCCGCTGCTCCAGTCGAATCTACGGAGAAGCGCAACCCCGAAGCTACGAAGCAGTATTTCCACGTTGCTGGAGACGTTCTCGACAAGAGAGACCCCGAGGCTGCTAAGCAGTATTTCCACGTTGCTGGAGACGTTCTCGACAAGAGAGACCCCGAGGCTGCTAAGCAGTACTTCCACGTTGCTGGCGATGTCCTTGATAAGCGTGAGCCCGAGGCTGCTAAGCAGTACTTCCACGTTGCTGGCGATGTCCTTGATAAGCGCGAGCCTGAAGCTGCTAAGCAATACTTTCACGTTGCTGGCGACGTCCTTGACAAGCGAGAGGCTGCCAAGCAATACTTCCACGTTGCTGGAGACGTTCTCGACAAGAGAGACCCTGAGGCTGCTAAGCAGTATTTTCACGTGGCCGGCGACGTTCTTGACAAGCGTGAGCCTGAGGCTGCTAAGCAGTACTTCCATGTCGCCGGTGACGTGCTCGATAAGCGCGAGCCTGAAGCTGCTAAGCAATACTTTCACGTTGCTGGTGACGTCCTTGACAAGCGAGAGGCTGCCAAGCAATACTTCCACGTGGCTGGCGATGTTCTCGACAAGCGCACTGAGGCTTCCGATTAATCCAGTGTCACCTTCAAGCCCTCTGATTCGACCCATGACAACTCAGGCAATCTTTCGAAGAAAACGACCTTAATGGTCTCAATACAAGACGAAGGGGCTCAAAGACACTGCAGAGTTACTACGCTTGAAAGCAGGATGGGTACTTAGAGACGCCTTTGGTTTCATGACTAGACTCGTTTCTGTGCGATGGTTGTTTGGTCAGACCTCAGGTTGGCAATCAGACTGTTGACAAGTTTTCCTGGAGACATTCCTTTTATATTAGTGAATTGGAATTTATGATGTGCGATTTGCATCGATTTGCAACGTGAACGTGAACTTGTGAGAACTCGTATTTTCTTCCACCGTGAGCCAAAAAATGCACCTGAGTCAATTTGAAATTTATGGCCCACCCGACTCCTCACTGTCCGAAGTGATTTCCCTCGAATCGCAGCGAGGTATTTTGAAATGACCGTTAGCTTTGTTGTATGTAGGCATGCGATTAGAAGTGCACATTGACGCCATTCTTCAACATTGGTTCCATGGCGCTAACTCAGCCCCTGCAAGTTTACCCGTCCTGTTGGGTGCTTCATGGTGGATCCGTCCCAGATGCAAAAGTCCGCCGCCAAGTGGAATGTCCGCAGCGGAAGTGCAGTAACTGCAGGTATGACCCCAGGATTTGTAATCGGATGGAGTCAAGCATTGTGAGATGGCACAATCCGTTCGAGCCACCTGTTAAAACCACGAGACTCACATACATAAACCCTCCAAAAGTTACTTACATCTTGAGAATTCCACCTCGCATCCACCGTTGCACACACCCACCAATCATGGCAAACCTTGCAGTCCCCAAAGGCTCGACAGTTCTTGTAACTGGAGCCAATGGTCTCTTGGGCTCCCACGTTGCGAAACAGTTCCTCGAATACGGGTACAAGGTTCGCGGCACAGTCCGTAATCCGGAAAAGGTAGCATGGCTTCCGGCAGCATTTGAAAAGCGATATGGCCAAGGCAACTTCGAGCTTGTCCAAGTCCCGGATATGGCGGCGGAAGGCGCCTTCGATGAAGCTACGAAAGGTACGACGAGAGGAACCCTGTGAAAGCCAGCAGACAAGTCACGGGGCTGACATTCGATCTCAGGCGTTGCCGTAGTCGTGCACACAGCTTCCATCTTGACGCTCGACCCAAACCCCAACAACGTCATTCCTGCCGCCATCAAGGGCGCCCTGAGTGCATTGAAATCGGCTTACGCGCAGCCGAGTGTGAAGCGTTTTGTGTTCACTTCATCGTCAGCTGCTGCTGGTCCCAAAGACGACTCGCCAGATTCGGCAATTACCGAAGACAGCTGGAACGAGAAAGCAGTCAACATCGCGTGGGCCGATCCCCCGTACGGCCCGGAGAGAGCTGGCGCCGTCTATGCGGCGAGCAAGACGCAGGCCGAGCAGGAAGTGTGGAAGTACCACAAGGAGCACCGCAGCGAACGCCCTGACCTCGTTGTCAACACTGGTAAGAACCGTCTTCGATATCGGGGTTGACTTGGACTAACAACCAATTAGTGCTCCCCAATTTCAACTTTGGCGGCTCCATAGATCCAGTCAACCAAGGATTTCCCAGCAGCTCTGGCCTTCCGGTCATACTCTATAACGGGAAGATTGCAGCTGTTCACCGCGTCATATCTGAGCGCAAGTTTTATGTTACCTGAGCGAGCAGGGTATGACTGATTAACTTCTTTTTAGAATACTTCATCGACAATGACGACGCGGGCAGATTGCACGTTGCTGGAGCCGTTCTCGAGCATGTGAAAGATCAACGCATCTTCGGTCTCGCCCACACTTTTAGCTGGGACTTGATCCTGGAAATCTTCCGCAAGAACGAGCCTGGGAAGAAGTTCCTGGAGAACTTCTCTAACGAGCCGAGCCAGCATCCCGTCGAGGCGCGCGACAAAGCCGAGCAGTACTTGCGAGAGCTGGGACGCCCGGGCTGGACACCCTTGGAAGAGTCTATTTTGGAAACTGTGAAGGGTATTCAGGAAGCGGGCGATAAGATTCAGTTCGAGTCGTACTCCCAACTGGGTCCCCGGAAAGATGCAGCTGCGGGAGATAAGTCGAGCTAGACTCTAGTCACTTACGACCATAGATAGAAACCAATGCATGTCCAGCGACTACGGCGCTAATGAAATGTCAAACCGTCAAGAAAAGGACTTCAAAGGATATACGCAAAGGAATGCGAGAAACCTAGTCTTGAGTCTAGTTAGTTGCTAGACGACCATCACGCATCACGGACATTAATGCAACGCTGAAGTCACCTCAACTGCACCAGTTGAAGGTATTGCGGCCCCGGCACAAGTTAGTGTATTGGAATGAGTTCACTTGCAGTGGTATCTTCTCGAAATGCTTTGCCAAAGCTTTCACACAGCCATGTCCTCCGGCCCGGGTCCGGAGCACTCGCGCTCGGAAGACCCACCATTCCCCGCACCCGCCAGCTCGCACGCCGTCCAAAGTCTCAATGCATATCCAATCAGGCAAGAGGCGATCGCGAATACCAACCAGTCATCTCTGCCCAGATCTCATGGAAAACGTATGCTCAACAACTGACTAAAACACAAACTCCGCCAAACCCCGCAGTCCCTGCGCGATATAATCGACTTGTCCTCCGCCGAGGCCAGCAGTCAGCCAATCATTCACGTGGCTTAGTCACGTTCTCTCCGAATGGTGTAGTTGGTTCATCACGTTCGACTGTAATGGTTCTACCAAGATCATCGAAAGGTCCCTAGTTCGATTCTGGGTTCGGAGAACGATTCCTTTTTGTCGTTGCGTGCACTGCCTTTTGATGTCATTTGGCACTCGTGCCCGGCTGGTGTAGCGCGGTCGGCCATCCCTTTGTCACCTTCGTAAACGAGTAGTTCGCTGCATATAATCACACCACTTCCGAAAACCCTGTCACGCCATGTTGACAGCTCGTTCTCTCACCGCTTCAGCCCGAATGAATCCAATTCGTGCTTTGCTGCCGCCCCGAGATTGCAGCTAGCCGCCATGACTTCACCGGCTGCCTGTGCTTGGCCTGCGCTGGTATGTCTTCACCCCTAGAGCGTCTTTGGCGGGTATTCATTGGATCGGCCTCAAGCTCGTTATATGATCAGATCATGTATGATCTATTGGTATGGGCAAACAAAACAGCCCGTGAATTAGACGTGGATACAAAAATATCGCTTCTTCCTATAGCCGGCTGTTCGCGGCACGTGGTCATTTTTTTTTCCATCCAAGAAAGTCCGTCCTCAAAAGCCGGAAAAGTTCACCAGAAACGCCTTCCTTCGTTCAATGTATTTCTTCTCGCTTTACAAACCCATCCAGTTCCCGTTCACGCTCCCGCCCATGCCCTCGAACCCCGGCACGTACCCATTCCCAAACATGGCTGAAAACTCATCCAGCGCCGGCGGCATCGGCGACAGGCTCCCGTCGAGCCCGAAGAACGGCATCGCCGGCGGCAGCGACGCCGTTCCCTGCCTCCCGGTCCCAGGCGCTACATGACCGCCGCCGGCGCCGCTACCACCACCATGCCCGTGGCCGCCGCCGGTCCGCCAGAACGCCGCGGGGTGCGGCGGGATTGGCAGCCCCGCGTCGTGGCTCCGCTCGCTACGCGCGTCGTGCGCGGGCGTGTCCGTCTTCCAGAGCATCTCCCACTTTTTGAACCTCGCGTAGTCGGACTCCTTGGCGGAGCTCGACGCGGCGTCGTCGTTGGCGTCGAGGCGGGAGATGGCGCGCTCGAAGGCCTCGATGAGGGACATTTCGGACTTTGCGGACTCGCCGCCGGTGGACATCTCCTTGAGCATGGCGAGGCCGTCGCGGAGGGCCTCGCGCAGGCGGTCGGTCTTCTTCTGGAGGCACTGGGTGATGATGACGAGAAGGGCGGCGCGGCAGGAGGAGAACTCGGTGTAGGAGGCGCGGGCGAGGCCGATGCTGTTGCGGAGGAGGCGGCAGGTCTCGACGACGCAGAGGGCGGCGTCGACGCAGTCTGCGACGAGGACGGAGCGCGGATGGGCTTTGGCGGCGGCGGCGGCGGAGCCGGTGCGCGGGGGCAGGGCGGAGTCGGCGGGCGAGCCGGAGGAGGAGGCGGTGCTGCGGGTGGATTCGCGGGGGAAGATGAAGGGGCGGCCGGCGAACATGCGGACGAGGCAGTATTCGAGGCGCAGGTGCATGTCGGGGCGGAAGACGGCGGATCCGGGGTTCGGGTCTTTGCAAAAGGTGGTTTCTGGGAGGTTGTTCCACCAGGTGTGCAGTTGCGCCTTCATTTCGACTAGCTTGGTTATGCCGTCTGGGATTTCGTGCTTTTCAAAGGTCTTGAAGAGGGAGCTGGAGGCTTGTTAGCTGTGAAGAGGAGAAGCAGGGTGGAGTGCTTACATCTGATGGTTGATCCGGCTTAGCGCTTGGTTTAGCTGGAGGGTGGCCAGCATGTGTGCGGTGTTTGGTGGTGGTGAGCCGGCCCAGATATTTGGGCGGTCGACCGGCATCTCGGCGTCGACATCTGCGGCAGCGATGGAGAGCGGTCGGCCATGGAATATGCCGATGCGCCTGGGGTTTGTCAGTACAAGAGCCGACGGTTTCACGAACACCGAGCTTACTTCTCCGTTGTGTAGGCCGTCCACCACACGCGGTTCCTCGTCTCGCGGATGACGGGGTCAATGAGGTCTCCTGGATACTTGCGGTGCATGCCGTTCTGTATGGCAAGCTTCACGGCAAGGTTGAGGTACACGTACGACAGCCCGGATGCATCAAGAGGAAGGGTGTAGAGGCCGATGAGCAGGCAGGCTTGCACACTCTCCAGGCTGGATATCGTGATGACATCTGGCACAAGCCTACACGCCTGCTGGTAGAACATGATGCCAATGGTGTCCTCGGAGAACGGGCTGGACTCGGCAGGGGCAGTCGGCACCCTACCCCTCTCATCGCGGGAGTCGAGATACGCATATTGTGTGCCGATGGCGAAGACGATCAGGATGATGCACATTGTCCCGACATCTCGGCGTGTGAGGGATCCCGGATTCTCATACACCACGTCCAGCTTCTCCTGCAGCCAGTGCCGCTCAACGTAGAAGTAGCTGGTCTCGGCATGGTTGAAGAACGCGTGGACGAGGAAGTCAGCCACGTAGCGCGGAGGCAGTGATGAGAGCGAAGCGACAGTGTTGGATGTGGACTGCAGCTCCTCGGGGCGATAGTACTCCTTGAACTGTGTCTTGGGGCCATCGGGGGTATCCTAAACGGCGTAAGCCTTTTTGTGATCCAAGTCAATGCCGAGGGTGTACATGCATTTACACACTGCTCTATCCACTGCTTTATCCGCATGGAAAAGTTCCAGTGTGAGAACTCGCCGGAGTAGTCTAGCCATTGTCAGTTCCGGGGGCGCCTTGAACCTCATGCCTGGTGCTCATCTTACGGGTGATGTTATTTTCCAATGGCTGCACGGTGATCTCATCCACCTGGAACGAATCGGAACTTTGCGACTTCACCTCGACCTCGGCGCCGATGTCCGGGTCCATGGGAGCGTCCGGGTCTGGTTGTGGTCCCGGGGCTTCCGGGCCGGCCCGTCCTTTCTCTACGGAGTCGGCCAAGGTCTTTAAGGTATCGGCATCGAGTCTGCTCTGGCCAGTGTAGTGGGCGAGCAGACGCTCCATATAGGCCATCCGCTGCCTCAACTCCGAGTCCTCCTGCTGCGACGGACGGGGTCTATTGATATCCGCCAAATGGTGGCCTCGTCAGCCACGTGTTGAAGCACTTGATGGAGATCTATGGCGTCTGGTGACTCATGACAAAGAGTGGAATAAGAAAAGAAAGTTTAGTTTACCTTGCCGCATGCTCAGCGCCGGGCTCTTCTCTAGTCGTGGGCGTGAGAAACTCACACTGCCGGCGGAGGCGGGTGCACCGCCGGCAGGGGACTCCGCCGTCGCATTTCTCCTTGAGTCTCCGGCATCCGTCGCAGCTTGGTCGCGTCAGCATGGAAGGCACTTATTAGGGGCCACGATGACGGTTTGAGAGAGGAGATGGGCTAAGAGGGAGGGACTGGGGAGGGACGGGGAGGGGAGGGCCTCATCGTACGCTCGAACAGCCCGCTTTCGCTCCTTATCCGCGACGCGGCGCTGCTTGTGTCGTTGCAGACGCAGACCGTCGTCGGGATCCATCGACGTTCGGGTCGCGATAGCCGATAAGGGGTGTGAGAAAGAGGGCGGCGGCGGAAAAGTCAAGGCAAGGCCAGATAGGGAGCCGCACGCCGATCAGCCAGCGCAAAGGCAAGGCTCCCGGGCCGGTTCGCGGTTCCAGGTCTCGGGGGCGGGCGGTGCGTGTAACTCAAGACCCCGGAAACGGAATGCTTGTGTGCAGTGGCGGAGAATGGAGGGAGGGAGACAGGTCTGGTCTCGGCCTCACAGACAACGCATTGAGTCTCTCCCTTGCAACTAGGTAAGGTCAGGCAGGTAGAGTTCGCGGTGTGCGGCTGGCGTGCGTGCGGGTGTGAGCAAGGTATGCGGGTGGGTAAAGGGAGGATTTGTTGGCCGGCTCCAAGATTGTGTGTGAGGAGAGCTAAGATAGGCTGGAGCTGGATGAAGTCCCGCGCCTTTCCTGAGAGGGGAGAGAGGGGCTGAATTTCGGCGAAACCTGCGCCGCGGTCGGGGCTTCGGAGACCCACTCTTTTCTGCTGGCAGGACGCGGGGAAGCCGGCATGCACCCGGTCGGAGCCGAACAAACACCCCTGCACATATCCACAGACAGATCTAGAGATACCTGCTGACTCGTGACACTTCTTTATCCATTTGACATTGCACTCTGCCCGACGATGGATAGATGAGCAAACCTCATAAACCCCCGGATAGGTACTCCACGAACAGTGACAGGCCAGCTACTCCCTGTCATGCACATGCACCCAACCTGTGCATATCCGTACATCATTCTTATCTCCTCATCAACCCCCTTTACAGCTTCGCCTCGACCTTTCTCTCCCCCTCCCAAACCGACTTCAATCCCTCCTCCAGCGGACTGTCCTTGCGCGAGATCCTCGCCTCTGACGTCTCCATGATGCTGGGCAAACCGGTCTCCGCGAACGCAGCGCCGTCCCTTACCATGGCTGCAACGCCCTTGCTGGACAGGAGAATCTCAGGCATACCGTGACCTGAGAACCCGGCGATGATGAACTGCCCGGGCTTGCCAGGCACCGTCCCGAGATGCGGCATGAAGTCGGAGCTGTACCCCATAACTGTCGCATTCACTTGTCAACGATGACCTGCCTCATTCGGACACACGGGGGATGGAATGCCATGCACACTTACTGCCAGTCCACACGCGATCGACCTCTGCCCCGCTGTCCTCCCAGCCTCGGAACAACCTCTGCATGTAGCCGTCAAAATACGGCGCCGCGCCCCGCACCAGCTCGTCGTCGCGGACGTTGTCGAACCACTCCGCGCGCTTGTGCCAGAACATCTGCCGCGCCCCGCCCACGACGATGCTCCCGTCCGCCCGCGGGATGAGGTAATCGTTGTTCACGGCGTCGAAGCGGATCCCGTACGTGTTGACGAGGTGCGGCGTGCAGGCGCCCTTGGGCGACGTGATGCGGCTGCAGATGCCGCGGACAGGCACGATGCGGTTTTCGTACTGCGGGAGGACCTGCGCGGTGTAGCCGTTGGTTGCGACGACGACTTTGCCAGCCTTGATGGCGCCGCGGGGGGTTTGCAACGTCCACCTGCCGTCTGCGTCTGGCGTCTCGGAGATGTTGCTCACGGGCGTGTTGGCTTGTAGGTTGACGCCCTTTTCGAGAAGACGGTGCAGGATCTGGTGGACCATTTTGGCGGGCCAGAGGTGGGCGGCCGTGAAGGAGAAGCAGCATTTGGCACCCTTCACTCCGGATACCTGGGAACGTAAAGTCAGCGATCGACCGAGCTATGCGTTTCCATTGATGACTTGCCCTCTCGGCATCTTGTTCAGGAGTGAAAGCCACGTCCTTCAGGTTGACCTTCCCCGCTTTCAAAAGCTCGCGGTACGCCGCTTCGGTTTGCTTGGCATGCTCCGGGTCAAGGTATACATCCACAGCCCGCGTTAGGTGAAAGTCACAGTCCAGTCCCTCGCTCTCCACGAGCTCCTTCACTGCATACACGTTTGATGCCTCAAATGCAGCGAGTTTTGCTGCCTCGTCGGCCCCGTAGAGCTTGGTATACTTGGGCACATTGAAGTACGTATCGGGCTTGACGTGTCCGCCGTTCCGTCCCGACGCGCCGGAGCAGACTTTCCTCGCTTCCAGGATCGTGATAGAGGGTGGAGACGGGTTGTCTTTCAGTATTTGATAGGCCGTAGCCACACCTGCAAAACCTGCGCCGATAATGACCACATCGCTGGAAGCGGGAAGGTCTGGAGTAGTGCGATGGTCGTCCAGCGCCCGCGGGGATGAGTTCCAGAAGGAGGTGACGGGGTTGGCGACAGGGGCCCGCATGTGTGTCGGCTTCTGGGTAGCCATCATGAGCGACTGTAATTGATCGGGGATAGACGTCACGAGAGGAGCTAAGCATCAAACAGCGAAAGCGATCACACTCGATTGATAAGCGATCTGTTTCGAGTTTCTATATACAAAATGCGTGCAAATCCAAAGTACGGCTGCTCTGATCGCTGCATATAAGTGCTGCAGCATCATGAACCGACAACCGGCACAGATTCGGTGAGCACGACGCTGCAGACCGATGGCAGTCGAAGTTGTCATTCGATTGCAAGAGATAAGGTGCCGGCATGTTGATGATTCCCCGCCGATACCCCCAGAGGTCGAGTCCGGCTCGCTGCAAGCCGTCCTCACGCTTCAGGCGGGGAACACGGAGGTTCTCCGAGACCGGAGGCCGACCCGGCCACGGACGACACGGAACCGGCAACTAGCCGGTGCGCCAGACCTCGGGCCCTCAACCCAAAGATAAGGAAATATCCTCCCGACGCAGGGATCAACGGCGTATCAAGCGTATCACCTCACCACCGGCATATGCTTGCTCAATAAAAACGTTGAATAATTATTAATGACGTAGTCTTCGTTGGCTAGTATTCAGTTGCGAAAGCGGGCTCCTAATCACGCCGTCTTGTCTTCTGACGCGGCTATGATCTTCCGCGCCATCTCCGGCAGCTCGTCCGCCATAACGTCCATCTCGCCAAACAAGTCCACGCACGGTTCCTTCTCGTAGATACTGCACCACGCACCCTTGAACCCGCACCCCTTGGCCGCGCTCGCATCCCACATGTGCGCTGCGGCAAACCACGCCTCCTCCCCGTTGAAGCTCTCCAGCTGCGTCTTGTACGCGCGGGGGTCCGGCTTGCCCAGCCCATCAAAATCGCAGCTGCGCAGGTTCTCCGCGGGCATGTCGATGCCCGCCCTTGCAAAGTAGCCGCCCACGCGCTTGGCGTCGCCCGCCGTGAACGCCCACACCGTGAACCCGGCCTCGCGCAGGAGGGTGAAGCACTCCTTGATGCCGGGGCGAGCCTCGAGCTCCATGAAGCGCTCCAAGATGAAGGCGATGTCGTCGTCGGTGGCGAGCTGGCGGGGCTCCGGCACGCCGGCCTGGTAGAGCATGCGGTAGAAGAGGCTGCGGAAGATGTCGTAGAAGCGGCGGTAGCGGCCCTGGATGCTGAGGTAGGTGTACTCGCGCTCGGCGGCCTCGATCCAGGCGAAGCCCAGGAGGGCGGGCTTGATCTGGTACTCGGCGAGCTTGGGGCCGAGGCGGGTGTCGATTGCGCGGTGGATCGCGTCGTAGGACATGCAGGTGCCTACGATGTCGAAGACGACGTGTTTCCTTGGGGCTGACATGGTGGTCTCTGGGTTGTGCAGGGCTGGGAGAATTGTTGGATGATAGTGACGTATGCTGTAGGGGGTGGTGTCTTGCTTCCTAAGGCCCAATCTGGGACTACGTGCTTGACGATTTATACGCACTCATCGCCCGACCTGAAGCTTCATTAACGCTGTGATATCAAAAGCTAGCGCGGACCCTATCACCGGTGCATCATTATCTTATCTCGGTGTCTTGGGGCCGCGGGGATGAGCGGGGTACCGCAGGACCCCTCATCCCCAGCCGGCTCCCTTTTGCGGGCCCGAAGACCCGGCTGCGTATCTCTCGGCGGAGATCTGTCTGAGCAAGGTTGCCCTGATCTAGGCGAAGGGTTTTCCGGGGATAGTTGATAAGGTGCCGGTTGGGGGGCGCGTTGACTGCCGTTCCCGGTCCGCGGGGACGTCAACTCCCGGCGTGCTCACATGGGCCCGGCCGGCCGGCAGTTGACTCGAAAGACGATCCTGACGGGGCTCTACTCCTCCAGGGCCATCTGGATGCATCCGGAGACTGCTCATTCGGAAGAATCCGTGGAATCCGCGGCCTAGGGACACACCAGCGTTTGTATGTTGGCAGGTGGAAGACATGATAACCAGTGGTCGGTATCACTTGTGATCGATTCGAAATTGGTTTGGTTTAATTATCAAATGTTTTTCAATTGTGTTTCGTCGCCTTTTGCGGCAGTGTCATTATGGTATCAGTGCAAAATCAACTCCCAAGAGGGCGAGGCCGCATTTCGGCACACCCTCCGAGTCCAAAACCCATGCTATGCTTTGTCCGCCCAGTCAACTTTTTCCGTCCATGCCATGCTTTTTGCGCTTAAATTTACAGAGATGAGAAGGTCTTCTCGAATGCAGAAATCAAGAAAGGAACTGCAAAGTTAAAGGTCAGTAAAACATGCTCGGTTCCAAGTTTCAGGGTTCAATATCAACTTACTGTGAGCCTCCTCAAAGATCAACATGGGGCGGAGACGGATGGTCTCCTTGCCGCAGGCACCAATGTTCACGCCAAGGCGCTTCATGGAACCGGTCACAGCCGCCGCGCTCTGGGTGTCGAAGGCGATGTAGTGGCCCTGGCCCTTGCCGCGCAGGTTCTGGACGTGGTCGGGGAACTTCTGGGCGAGCTTCTCCATTTCGGCGTAGAGCGCGGCACCGACGCGCGCGGTCTGCTCTACCAGGCCCCTCTTGCTGATCTCGTCGACGACGGCCTTGCTGACGATGACGCGGGCCGGGTCGCCGATCCAGGTGTTGAACTGGCGGTAGGCCTTGTCGGGGACCAGCATACGGTCGCCAAAGTAGTAGCCGGCCGTCTGGGCCTTCTTGGAGAAGGTGACGATGTCGGGAGGGGAGGTGAGGTTCCAGTGGGCGTGGCCCCAGAACTTGCCAGTGGCACCGAAGCCTGAGTCGTGTTAGTGGGGATGTGTCTTGGAGGAGTTTAAAATACCGGGGGTACCTACCAGTCTGGACCTCATCGACGATAAGGACAACGTCGTTGTTCTTGGTGATGTCGCGCAGGCCCTGGAAGAAGGCGGGTGAGGCATGGTTGTCACCGCCCTCGCTCTGAATAGGCTCGACGATGATGGCGGCGACGGGGCAGTGCCAGCTCTTGAAAAGCTCCTCAACCTCCTTCAAGCAGCGCTTCTCCTCGGCATCGTTCTCGGCGGCATACTTCTCAAGAGGGTACTTGAGGGCGGGGAACGAGGCCTGGGGCCAGTTGAAAGAGGGAATATCCAGCTTGTGAACGGCCTTGGAACGGGTCGTGGACAGACTACCGAAGCCACGGCCGTGGAAGGAGTTCTTGAAGCTCATGATGGCCAGCTCGGGCGAGCCGGGGGAGGTGTTGTGCAAGCAGGAGTGGATCTCCTCGTGGGACCACTCGGCCTCGCCACGCTCGCGGCGGCGGTAGAGCATGAAGGCGGCCTTGTAGGCCAGCTCGTTAGCCTCGGAGCCGGACTGGGCGGTGAAGATGTGGTTCATGCCCTCCGGGGCGACCTTGAGCAGGCCGTCCTGGAGGATGTCGTGCCAGTAAGCGGAGGGGAAGTTGCCGATGGCCGGGCGGTTGACCAGGGCGGAGATCATCTCGGGCGACTTGGCGGCCTCGATGAGGGTGGGGTTGTTGTAGCCAACCGGGATGGAGGCGATCTGGGAGTAGCTGTTGGGCGGGTTCGAGATTAGCGAGCTGCGGGGGACAAGGTGGGATGCCGAGGATCTGCGGTGATCTCGGGAGGGGTACCTACACATCGAGGAACTTGTTTCCATCAACGTCAACGATGCTTTTGCGTGTTAGTAAATGCGCAAAAGATGTTTTCTAACCATGGCACGTACTAGTTGTCGTGGCTCTTCTCGTAGTCAACGACGAAGTGAACGGCACGAGCGTCGAAGACAGCGTCCAGCTTCTTCTGGCTGGCCTTGGACATGGGTCCAGGGACCTCCGTGGTGACCGAGTGCTCGACGAAGGAAGGCATCTTGTCGGTCTTACTTTTAAGACAGTCGGTGATCTCGGGTGTTGTCTAGGTCGAGTCTCAAGGGTAGAAGTAGAGTATCTTGATGAGATGTGACTCTGTGATGAGATTGGCGAGCAGGAGAAGACAACATCGTCGAGTTGAAGAAGAACGACTATTTATCTCCCAGAATCTCGCAATACCCGACAGCTTCCGTTCGCCCCTCGAAGACAGACAGCCGGGGACGAAGCCGGCCGGTCCCGAGCCGGCCCCATCCGGGCCCAGAACGGCTTGGAAAACGTTCCCCACCATCTCCATCGGAGCTAGCATGATCCCCCGATTGCGGCTCGTTATGACAACCAGAAACTTGCCTTGAGGCGTTTTCTGTCCCGTGCGTTTCTTTTCCCACGTGGAATTGGTCCGATTCTTTACCACATCTAGCGGGTTGATATGTGTCATGTCTCCCCTCCGCTGTCGACCCCACCCCGTGGCCCCGGGCCGGTCCCACTTTCGTTTCGCTATCGCTGGGTTTTCTGAGGCACACCGGCATCGCGACGGCACGCGCGGTCCTGTGATAACATCGTGAGTGAGTGAGGGGTTCATATAAACCGCCGGACCGCGAGGCTGTTTGCTGTAATTGCCGCGGTTCACACTAAGACATCAGACCACTTTGCTGCAGGGTTCTTGACGTGCATTGTTTCTGCTAGCAACTCTTATTCAAAATGGCGTCAGGCGCACACCAGGTGAGCGTTCATGCATGCGAAGAAGTCGCGGTCTTCCGGTCTGCCCGCAACACCGTCCCGGCAGCTGACTTGTGAGGATTAGTTGAAAGATGCTTCACTGCTGAAGACGGCGTGTTATGTGAATGGAGAATGGGTTGGCGCGGCCTCGGGCAAGGTGTTCTCTGTCGAGAGTGAGCTGCCTCCTGTTTCCAAGACCTCAAATCATCCTGACCCTGAGTGCAGACCCTTCAACTCTCGCCGAGGTGGCCACATGCCCCGAGTTCGATGAGAAGGACACTGAAGCTTCAATCCTCGCCGCTCATGAAGCCTTCAAATCTTACCGCAAGACTCCCGCGCGAGCGAGGGCTCGCTACCTGCGCAAGTGGTACGACCTCATGATGGAGAACGCGGAGGATCTGGCCGCCATCATCACCCTCGAGAACGGCAAGCCCCTGGCCGACGCCAGAACAGAGGTCGCCTACGCCGCATCCTTCTTCGA